GTAGTATGGCTTCTTCTTGGGTGGTGGTGGTGGTGAGTGATAGTAGTATGGTTTAGGTGGAGGTGGTGAAGGAGGTGGTGGTGAGTGATAGTAGTATGGCTTAGGTGGAGGTGGTGAAGGTGGTGGGGGAGAGTGATAGTAGTATGGCTTCTTCTTGGGTGGTGGTGGTGGTGAGTGATAGTAGTATGGTTTAGGTGGAGGTGGTGAAGGAGGTGGTGGTGAGTGATAGTAGTATGGCTTAGGTGGAGGTGGTGAAGGTGGTGGGGGAGAGTGATAGTAGTATGGCTTCTTCTTGGGTGGTGGTGGTGGTGAGTGATAGTAGTATGGTTTAGGTGGAGGTGGTGAAGGAGGTGGTGGTGAGTGATAGTAGTATGGCTTAGGTGGAGGTGGTGAAGGTGGTGGGGGAGAGTGATAGTAGTATGGCTTCTTCTTGGGTGGTGGTGGTGGTGAGTGATAGTAGTATGGTTTAGGTGGAGGTGGTGAAGGAGGTGGTGGTGAGTGATAGTAGTATGGCTTAGGTGGAGGTGGTGAAGGTGGTGGGGGAGAGTGATAGTAGTATGGCTTCTTCTTGGGTGGTGGTGGTGGTGAGTGATAGTAGTATGGTTTAGGTGGAGGTGGTGAAGGAGGTGGTGGTGAGTGATAGTAGTATGGCTTAGGTGGAGGTGGTGAAGGTGGTGGGGGAGAGTGATAGTAGTATGGCTTCTTCTTGGGTGGTGGTGGTGGTGAGTGATAGTAGTATGGTTTAGGTGGAGGTGGTGAAGGAGGTGGTGGTGAGTGATAGTAGTATGGCTTAGGTGGAGGTGGTGAAGGTGGTGGGGGAGAGTGATAGTAGTATGGCTTCTTCTTGGGTGGTGGTGGTGGTGAGTGATAGTAGTATGGTTTAGGTGGAGGTGGTGAAGGAGGTGGTGGTGAGTGATAGTAGTATGGCTTAGGTGGAGGTGGTGAAGGTGGTGGGGGAGAGTGATAGTAGTATGGCTTCTTCTTGGGTGGTGGTGGTGGTGAGTGATAGTAGTATGGCTTTGGTGGAGGTGGTGAAGGAGGTGGTGGTGAGTGATAGTAGTATGGCTTCGGTGGAGGTGGTGAAGGTGGAGGTGGAGAGTGGTAGTAGTACGGCTTCTTTTTGGGTGGTGGTGGTGGTGGTGAGTGGTAGTAGTATGGCTTAGGTGGAGGTGGGGAAGGTGGTGGAGGAGAATGGTAGTAATATGGCTTGGGTGGAGGAGGTGAAGGTGGTGGGGGAGAGTGGTAGTAGTATGGCTTTTTTGGTGGTGGAGGTGATGAGTACAAGTAGTTATCAGCTGAGATTTGAGACGGGAAGGTTAAAGACAGTAATGCCAATAGCAGAGTGAGTGTGGCGGAGGAGGCCATCAGAGACCCCATTGTTTTTCCCCTCAACCTCACTACAACGTGGGGTTTTCTTATGCTCTTTCTCAACCAAGTGCCACCCTTTATATAGAATCTTTCTTTACCCCATTTCACACCAACTAATCTTTTTGGTAAATTTCTTCTCATGCATGCGCATTCCAATCATCTTTTCTCCTTCTTCTTCTTCTTCTACCCTTAATTCCTTTCTAATTAAACGCTAATAATTTATCTCCTAAAACATAACAATTCAAGTAGAAAACTACATTCCCCAGTATTGACGTTCGCAAACAGAAAAAAGGCCTTAAATTATGAAAATGATATTTGTCCTTTTTCGGCAGTAAATATAAATAGATTGTTATTATAATTATTATACCCACCAATTAGATCCACGTGGGATTGGAGGGGAATGTAAAATGATTTTTGATACCGAGACATTAAATGGTTGGGTGTTTGAAAAGTAAATGGATGGTTTTGTTGGCATTGGAGACTTAAAAAGTGTGGGACTGGATGGTCCGTAGCAGCCTCAATGATTTTGAAGGAGTGTCTCTCTTTTTCTCTCTCTAATCAATTCATCTAGGCTGCTTCTGTACACACTTTAGAGTCTGCACCACACCACGGCTTGCACATGTTGCATGCCATTCTACAATTCCTTTTTTGATAATACAAAATTCCTTTTACTTTCCATCTTTTATTTCTTACTCTGCCCGTATAAATGCCACCCAAATTCATGTCTCCACCTCTTTAATTCCTAATCTTACTTTTCTTCTCAATATTTTAAATAAACGACTATTTTTACCTTTCCACTGTTCCATAAATTCTATCCAACTTATTTAATTCCGATGACCATAATATTTCACACTGCCACATTTTCCTCTCTCATAAATTACTAATTAAATAAATGCTGAAATTATTACTCAACTCACTGCATTTTCCTTCTTTTTCTCAAAATCCACGTATTGTATTTCTCAATAACTAAACTCTTTTTACCAAAACAAAAACCACTACAAAGAAACTTATTTACTAACAGCTTATCGTCTGCTTCATCTTTGTTGTACATGTTTCTTAACGAAAGTTTATTGATATAAACCCTACTACAGGTTATAATCAGAGTTTGATGAATATATTTAAATATAATTTAATTAATGAGAACTTGTTACAAGCAACATTTTAAGTGTACAATTTAACCAATGTATTTTGATTAATGAAGTGTATATGAAATGGGTTTATCATCTTATCTTCTTATAGAAATATAAAAAGGTAAAACAAATTTCCTAAAGGTCAGTTTCACAGATTTAACCAAACATCGTCTTACTAACAACTGTGATTTATAATAAACTTTTTGGTTGAAAAAAAGTGTACAACCCAAATCTTGTGTAAGGTCCCAACAAAGCTGGCTTCTTCTCCTGAATGGGTCCTCGAGCTTTGGAGTGATCGAGTGGGGATACTCTCACGTTAATTGAGTTAATGAAAACATTAATAGTGAATGGTTGGTGTAACCCAAGTTACGTAGAACGGTGGTTATAAATAAAAGCTATCAGGATGACAATGAGTCGGATCGGATATGATAGTGTCTATCAGATAGTTTAATACATACACCTAACCAGTTTAAAAACGGATATTAAAATATCGTTACCGTTATCCGCGGGTAATAAATATCCGCAGATAGTAACTACCTGCCGCGAATTTTATCAGCTGGGTACCCTACGAATTTTTTTTCCATCCCTAATTCAGTGTAATATTATAAGTAGTTTTAGTATGATAATATAGTTAAAATAATAATTTAATCTTCGTAATAAAGTTTTAAATAATATTTATTATACGAATTATCGAATCTTAATTTTCATCCAAGGTAAAATGAAAAAGACTCTTTCCATTTGTATCTAAACTTAGTTATGAAAGTTAAACATTGTTTAATCAGGCCAAGAGATTTTTTGGTTAACGGAATTTAAATAAATTATCAAAAATGGGAAGAGTGTGTATAGGAGTGAGTTAAAGAAAGGGGAAGGAAGAAAAGTGGAGATAGTATAACCTACAAATTTCATGCTCTTATTTTAGTAACTTTCTATGGAAGTTACCGTTTGTGACATGTTCCAAAGGGTTGGTAAGTTTCTAACTTCTGTTTCAACGTATCCCAAAATAGTAAGATCCATTCGTAGCTACATAGATAGGTACCTTATACCTAAGCATCATTACATCACTACTTATGTATGCATAACCTAAAATATAAAACAGACAGATATTGGTACAGTATATTTTTGAAATAAATAAGCAAAAATGTATATAGTCTATGTAATGAAAATTATTATGTATGATAGTAAAGATTGACTAAAGATTTAGCAGTACATAAAAGCAACCCCAGACAGAAGAGGAACTAGAGAAGTTTTATTCGTAAGAGTGAAAGAATTTATAATACACCGTCACAGTGTATTATTATTATTATTATTATTATCTCAAATGAAATCGATTAATAAATAAAATAAGAAAAGCATAGTATGTATGACAGAAAAGGAAGGATGAAGGAACCAAGTTGGGCAATGCTATCAGATCCAGACTGGCCATGTATTTGACCATTCATGATCTCATAGATGTCACATTCCCATTGACTGAATTTATTTTTCAGTATGTATGAATGCGACATGCACAGATAGCACTGTGTCTCAGCAACATGTCATTAATATTAAAGTTGTAATACATTTCACACAAGTTATAGCAAGAGAGTATGGCCACATTTGTGATAATGAGCAACAGTTTAAAGTTATAGTAAGTTGATTTTGGGAAATTTTTAGTGCAAAATATCAGAGATAGTAGAACAAGAAAACAGGCAAACACCAGCTACTTCAGTACTGTCTTGCTATATATCTTGAGGTAAAATTCCTTTACTTGATCATCAAGTGAAAGTGACTGAACAACGCATATTTTTTAAATTATTTTCATTTTGAAAGAGATTCTTCGTGTGAAAAGACAAAATGAGAATCTACTATACATGTTTATTTTAATACGTGTGAAAAAAATTAATTATTTCAAACAATAAAATACATTAGAGGGATAGTGATTTCTTATCAAGTAATTCTTTTTTCAAATAGCTCCAAACACAGTTTTAAAACGTAAAAAATAAAACACGGTTTAAAAAGATTCCAGAGAAGTTTTTTTTTATCAGCTAAAAGACATATATATGTGATTAACTAATCTCAATTATTTAAGCAGAACTATTTACTTAAGAATTTGGTTGAAAATTTCACTGAACAACTTACTAAGCAGAAGTATTTAACAATTAAAACGTGTTGTTAAAATTAAAATACAATAGAATTATTATTTTTTCGTATTCTACGTAGCAAAGCCTGAAATGATTACAGATCTACTTAGTTTGGTAAAAAGTTTGAAGGATTTGTACACGAAATGATGAATGGGTGATTTGGGGGAAGACTTTTGAGAGGTATTCAAGAAAGTTGGTCCATGTATAGTCTATAGTGGCAACATGCATGCATGCATATACATGATGAAGATGGAAAAGTATAATATTTATAGGGTAAATGATTGATTGTTTTAATGATAATAAGTAATGGGAAAATTGGAATAAAAAAATTGGTAGGGTTGCTAGCATGAGATTTTGGGGAAAGTTGATTGGGGGTGTCTGGAAGATGGGTGTGTAGTCCAGTTTGAATAACCTTTTTTACAGCTAAATTGTAAGGTGTGGACATCATGCATGCAGCTCAAATTCTTATACAATCACAAAAAAATATTACATCACATGCTCACTTCAAAGGTAAACCCCTTTTTATATTCAGTATTAACAAATTCAATTTATTTCCTTCCCATCATTTCACTGACGTACGTATTATTCCCAACCTGTAATCAAAATTATAATCCGAATCTTTAAGTCTATGTATATTTAAATTTTTATTCTTATCGTGTTAGCAATAAAAATATTATTTTTAGAAGTATATTTCATTTATATTTGCGAATATTCTTAATAATGCACGAGAACTTGTTATTAATTTATGGATTATATATGTATGGCATGTGGGTTCGTATAGACGGACCATGTTTACTTTATATATCACAAACTTTATACATTATGAGATAAGACATATTTGTCCCTGTATTATGTACTATTTTAATATTTTAAAGTAATGGTTTAGAATTTGAAAAACCAAAAGTGCTCCTTGTAATTTT